CTGTGTCGGCCACGTACACCGCCTGGCCTTGTTCCACAACCCCCACTAGACCTACTTCACCAACGGTACCACACTCACCTGGGGGGACTGCCACGGCAGAAAACGTCTGGTCTTCCACGGAGTCCACGTCGCTCTCATGCTCCACCACTTGCGCTAGGACGGCCTCCTCCGTCGCGCACTTTTCTTTGGTGTGGCCCCACCCCTCGTAGCGCGAAAACCATGGCACGAAGTCCTTCTCGTTGGTAGTGCAGCCGATTGCTTGATGTCCACGATGTCCACACCTAAAGCACCGGCCCGCGAACTTATAGTCCCCGCCACCGCCGCCATCGGCGCCTCCACTGCTGCTTCCCTTGCTCTCCTCGACTCCTCCGGATCCGCCTGAGCGGCCGCCGCGACCGCCGCCGCGACCGCCGCCGCCGCCGCCGCAACCGCCTCCACCGCGGCCACGACTACTGCTGCGGCCACGGCCGCCGCCACGACCACGACCGTGCCCCTGACTCCTACTTGAGTACCGCTCCCTGCGGCCCTCACCGTCGGCGAAGTACGCTTGCTCTGCGCCCTTCGCCCCTTTTTCTTTCCCCTGCTCCAGCTTGTCCTTGATCGCCTTGTAATCGATCATTACTTCCTTTAGCATACCGGTCCGCGTCAACTCCTTCGCTTGTCGCAGGTTGTGCTTTGTCATGGCATAATCGTCCGAAAGGGCATCCAGGAAGAGGTGAAGGACGAACGTTTCGTTGACAGTTATTCCTTTCTCGGCTAAGGACTTTGCGGTTTGGAGCATCTCATTTACTAGGGCGTTTTGGGGGTTTTCACCCCTAGAGATCTTGGTCGACCTCAGGGACTTGAGGTCCTCTGACGGCTGTACAGATGATTCAGGGTCGTGTATGGTCTTGAGCTCACGAAGAGCTCCCTGGGGCGTCTCTGCCCTCTTCATGATTTTCCGATCTTTTTCTTTCAACGCGTGACACAGGAAGTTCCACGCGTGGAATGCGAGCTCTACTTGCTCGCTCCGGTACTGCTGTGACAGCGAAAACTTGCTCTTTCCGCTGTTGACGGGGATCTCCAAGCTCCCGCTCTCTTCAAATTGTTCCAACAGGTTTGCGCCATTAGCTGCCATGCGGAAATCATTTAGCCATTCGTTGTAATCTTTCAATTGAAATCTTTCAATTGAAATCTTTCAATTGAAATCCAACAATTAAAATCTTTCAATTGAAATCTTTCGATTTCCCGCTTGAACGGAAGAGAAGTGTACCGCACATTTTGGAACCCCGTCGCTGAGGTTGTGGCTCCGTATCCAAAGCCACAGCAGCACCACCATCTCTCATGGCACTACAATAATCTTGGTTGTGAGCAGCGGCTACTCTCACCTCTTGGGAAACAAAGCCCCCTGCTTCGCAGCTGTGTCGCCCTGACGGGCCAGACTCTCGAACAGGTTCGTCCAGGTACCTCCCGTCCTGCGCACTCCCGGTCCACGGTGCCCCTCCTTCGGCGTTCGTGGACTCCGCGGCGGCGCTCTCCCTAGCATCGCCGCGATCAGCGGCACCCTTCATGGTGCCAGCTGGCTCCTCCTTCTTGCTTGCCTTCATGGTATCTTCCACTAGCGACATTAGCTGGCTCATCTGATCCGTCAGCGAGCTAACTTGTGTCCTCAGGGCCACGAGCTCTTCTCTTGACCTATTTCTGTCTTCCGCCGCAGAGTCGCTGGAGGAGTCACCACCATCTTTGCGACCTGACATTCCTAATGGACTCTCCCTCGAGGGACTGACACTATTGTGTTCGTAGATGTCCTTTACTTGGAAGGGGAAGACGCTTTATCTCTTGTATTAGACACGCAAGGNTATTTCTGTCTTCCGCCGCAGAGTCGCTGGAGGAGTCACCACCATCTTTGCGACCTGACATTCCTAATGGACTCTCCCTCGAGGGACTGACACTATTGTGTTCGTAGATGTCCTTTACTTGGAAGGGGAAGACGCTTTATCTCTTGTATTAGACACGCAAGGGGAGTAGGGAGAAGTGAAGCCCTCTTTAGAGTTCGAGGGGTCCCCGAACATGCAACCATTTCAAGGTGTACATATGCCCCATCTGCGTGCCATCTGTTGTTGCCGGTAGATCTAACCAGTCCATATCCAAACTCACGAACAGTCCTCCCGTGTGTGTGTTTTTATTATTAGCATCGACCGCGCAAATTTTGACGACGAAAGAGCGTTAGTCCGCCTGAAAGCTTTCCATACTTACAGGATCCGGAGCCGGTTTACCTTCGAGCTAGCTCGTTTTCTGTCCATGCGAAGTCGCAATGTGTTCAAACGTCACGGGCTACTGATCGTCCAACTTCCACAAGGCAGGGCCAATCGGTTGGGATCTCTGCGACAACGATAGTAATGAGGGTACTTCTTTTGGGAGTCACAGAGACGAAGGAAAGAAAAAGGGAAGAAAGGAGGACGAAGACGACGATGGAGAAGGAAACCATGGAGGAGGGAAGAGAGCAAAGGGTATGAGCCAGATGACCTTCCCCAAAAGAAAAAACGTAGGTCTAGGGAAGAACTGCCCAGAGATTCTTGTCAAAATGGGCATCAGAATGATGGTAGCGAACACAAGGAGGATAATGGTGAAAGTACTCCAAAACGAACTCGAGTACGAGATAGTAGCCTTGGTAGACACGTGCAGCTTTCTTCTGTTGCTGCTATTTCTGTCTTTGATCCGAAGGATAGTTTAGCCTCCCCCATGCTGCCCCCTCACGGGGTCCCAGTTCATGGCAGATGAAAATGTTTTGTGTTTCAACCGCACTGAGACTGACGACTTTTCATTGGTCAGCCGGTTAGCCCGTGTGTTTGTGTGTATGTTTTATTGTTACATCGACCGCGCTTACCGGCTGACCAAGGTTAGGACGTCAGTCTCAGTGCGGGTAAAAACCAAGAACACCTCTAAATGTCAATTAACCCGTGAGGGGGCGGGCGGCATGGGGGAGAATAACTTATTCTCCGGGTCAAAGACAGAAACGGTAGCAACAGAAGAAAACTGCAAACGTCTACGATGACTGCCACCTTGCACTCGAGTTCGTTTTGGAGTGCTTTCCCCGTCATCCTCGTTCCTTCCAACTCCATCGTTCTCATGGTCATTTTTCATAGCAACTTCTCGACATTTCCTCTCTAGCCCTGCGTCATTTGTGGTGGGAAAGGTAATCTGGCTCGAAGCTCTTGCTCTCTTCCACGCCATTCTTCCCTCCTCGACTGCTGCTTTGGTCTCTGTCTTGTCCTCCGCCCGTTCCCTCTCCTCCTCCTTCATCGCTGCCAAACGAGTTCCCGTCATGGCCATGCTGGTCGTTTCTAGCTGCACTACTACCGAGATCCCAACCTATTATTGGCTGTGGAAACTGATCAATAAGAAGTCCGTGACGTTTAAAAACATCGCGAGTTCGCGCGGATAGAATACGAACCGGCTCGACGGTAGACCGTCTCCGAATCCTATTGGTATGAAAACCCTCAAGGCGAAGCAAGGCTGTTTTGTCGTCGAAATTACCCTTGCATAAGGCTTCCTATGCCAAGTGGTTGGTGATGGCTACGATAAGTCGATTTGTGCCTTTGCCAAGACCACCATACGTTAAAAAAGTAGCAGTATGGAGGGTAGACCTAGATGGGTTGAAACTTACCTCATAGTGGTTTGCCTTACTTGCAGCTCGATCTTCGAGGGCGGATCCTGTATGTGTGTGTGTTTTCGTTCTGTTCATTATGGCGATAGTCTCCCCATGTTTCGTGGTGAGGCGTGTACTTCTGTACACGTGTGTCAGTGTACGTGGAATGCTACATTTTTCAGGTGCATTATTAAGCTATAGCTACTGTCAAGTCAGGAGTAGCAGGAAACAAGATGGCCGCCGATCTAGTTGGGCCTAATAACCACAGGGAAGCTGTCGCTAGATGCTTCAGGGAATCGTAGATACACGGGACTTCAACCAACGCTACGAATTCTCTGCAAATCTATCCCCGCTCTTGTCTGTGGATTGAGATTGATTCGTCGGGATTTTGTAGAGAGCAATTGCAATTTATTTTTCGAAGAATATTCTCTTCTGCACATGCTTACCTGTACTATGATGGTTTCAACTCGGGCCTGTTGAAGCTTTAATATTCGAAAAAATGGTTTTCGTTAGGATGAACAAAATCGCGGCAATTACACGGAAAACCAGCCATCATCCGCATGGCGGTCGACACATGCGCAACACCCCTATGCCTGTACATCAACAACACGAATGAGCCAGATGTCATATTGGCAGTTCTTGATGTCCGTATGCACTCACCCCGCAATAGCTTCCAGCCTAACATAACCGGGGATGCTGTCGTATGCTTCCCGACATCTGTGCTAACTCTCAAGATGCTATGCTACGGTCGTTCCCAGTACACCCACCATGCGGTTGCCTTCTCCACTAAAGCTACGATCCAGGGTCACATCACAGCTACTATTCCCACCAAATGGGGTCTCTCATACGAAACGCGCGACCTCTGGACAACATCGAGTTCGGCCATTTTCGAGCTTGCGTCGGTCGCAACAATGACAAACATCTCCGATAACCTCCCTCCGGTGTTCAGGCTGGAAAACCAAAGGAATTCCTCGAAAAATGCAAGTACTTGGCGAAAAATGCAACGTGCAACAAACACTGATGGCAAACCAACCATTGCGGGCGTCACAACGAGTCGGTGTACCATCCCCACACGAACTCCCCCTCGAATCGGACCTCAAAACCCTTCTCCACCACGTGGAGAGAGTTGTCGGTGCTGACGATGGTGTCGATGTCATGGACGCGGTCGGGGGGGTCGCTGCTGCTGCTGCCCTTTCGTCTGCTGTGGCGGTGGCGACGAAAGGCACCCCCAACCTTCCTGATCGGGTTGAGCTTCCGAAGGTGGTTTCTGAACCAGCCTCCCTTCTTGGCCTTGCGCGGACGGATTGGCCATCTCAATCACGATCTCCCTCGCCATACTTACCACCTGCTTGCGATAGGGTAGCCATGCGATGAGCAACAACCAAAGCAAGTCACGTCACGTGTCATCCAGGTTGTTCCAATATGCTCGGCAAGATGAAGAAGAAACACAAGCACCGTTTGTCAACGTTTTCGTTCGGCATCACGGTAGAGCTCGGCATGTCTATAGTCGCCTTGCCGTGTGGAGAAGAACCCGATGCACGAAACATCTCACGCTCCATCGTGCTAGTCATGGGGCTATTGTCTGCCGCACCAAATAAGTGGTGAGTGTCTGTGTTCGAGGGTATGGGAGCGGGAAACTTCGACAACTTGGTACTTGCTGATACCAGCTCGCCTGCTGCCTCATACAAATGCTTGTACCACAATATCGAACTGTCTTACCAACCACTTCTACCTGCGCCAGGGTGTAGTGTCTGCCATTGATTTCGGACTGCCGGTATGGCCATTCCTCATTGGTGCCACTTCTTTCTCACTCACCGCGCCACAAGTCTGGTGACTTCAGTACCATGTCGTCGCCCCCAGTACGGTAGCGGCCCGTCGGTGTCGCCCACGAACTCAGCGTTCCACGGCATCTGCTTACGGCCCCACGGCATTCGCATGTGGCTGGTTCCTCTGCCGCAGGTGTTTCCGGCGTTGTTGATGTATGGGTCGGCTAGCCCATGGCCGGCAGCGTTGCCTGCCTAATTTTTCGACGATGTTACCATGTCGTCGCCCCCAGTACGGTAGCGGCCCGTCGGTGTCGCCCACGAACTCAGCGTTCCACGGCATCTGCTTACGGCCCCACGGCATTCGCATGTGGCTGGTTCCTCTGCCGCAGGTGTTTCCGGCGTTGTTGATGTATGGGTCGGCTAGCCCATGGCCGGCAGCGTTGCCTGCCTAATTTTTCGACGATGTTCCGCCAGTGGCTCCTCCATATAATCGGACGAAAAAATGGAGTTATGTCAGGAGCGGGCCTTCGTGCAGGGTCTCATGAGGGTGATGGCAAATGTTGTGAACCAGGTCTTCGCCCATACTTGAAACTCCCCTCCCTCCTCCACGCGCAATCGAGAGTTGGTGTCCCTCTGTTGTAGGTCGCACACGAGAGGAAGAGCGGGACGGGGGCAGTAGAGAGAAGTGTCTTGTGGTGAGTAAAGCAAAAGAGAAGAGGGGTGATCAACAGATGTTCCATCTTTACGGGTGGGCGATAGATCCCCGTGGCGCATGTGCTACCCAGTAGTCGGAGTGGTCACTGTTGTGGAAGCGGAACCCATTTCGATTGGAGATGTCTAGGGCGTTGTACCCCTTGGCTCAACACGTTTGAATGCGTGGAGCGAGGATCTGTTGCCGTGCCTGTGCTGTGTAATCCGTCAAGGCTGATAGGTGATCTCAGACAAAACTTACAACGTGGAAGGGGGGGTGGATGACAGAAGAGGAGGCATACTAGTTGGACCACAAGGGAGCACACTCACTCTGCTCACAAAGGCCGACAGGAGCCACCAGCAACAATCTACAACATGAAATGACCACCACATCAACACCAACAGCAAAAGAGTGGCTCACCGTGGCAACACTTTCCGGCGGCGTACTGAATTCGCCGCTCTCCAGACGTAGAAACCCTCCCGGTTCGACCGTGAAGAGCGGGCTGGTGTCCCACTGCGCGCTAGAAACAACGGCGACGAGATATACCCGAGCTTAACTGACGCGGCTGGATTTTCCCAACCAATCAAAGCAGGGTGTGATGCCTAGGCCGTTCGCGTGGAAGCTAAGCTTTGCTCAAGTGCGGTCAATGAC